GTCGCCAACATTAGCGGCGCTGTGCATAGCGTCGCCACCGGCAGCAGCGCTTAGGTGGTGGGGGGCTCTATTAATACAAAAATACAAATATAAAACTTTGTCCGCTAACAGTAATTTCAACAAAACGTCTTCACCGCACCATGAAAATAAAATGCAATTTATTTTATATATTTCTTTCTGTTCGTTCTGTTTTCGGTCTAAAACCAAAACTCTAAACCGACCCGCTGGCCTCGCCGGTGCCCATAGAGATCATACATACTAACTCTAGAGGAAAAGGTCCGCCATTTTCCCATGCATTCTGGCTGCCGCAAGCGGCGGAGCATGCAGGCAGACCCTCGGGGTCCCACATGGTTACCAACTGCCTTCGATTTCACAAATATATCATCAGAGCAGTTTCATGAACCTCAACAATCCATGAACTTACCGGTGAAAGATATCCGCGTTCCTTTCGAAGCTTTGTTTTTGCATAGCACGCAGATGTACGGCCTCCCGTCAACACTAAACTAAACCAGATAACCGGCTTCGGTTATTTGGTTTAGTTTCGTATTTCCGGGCGCGGGCGGTCACGCTCGGAAATACGAAACTTCGCAACTACCAGATTTTCGAGATTTCGACAGAAGGGAAGTTAATGCAGCATAATGAGTATGCTGCTTTTTATAAACCTTAGAATAGCACAGAATTTAGTTTGCAACGCTAAATTATCACTGTTTATATTGCTGAGAGTTTTCAGTCTTCGCGATTACCATTGCGACTGTTGTGCTTCAGCTGGCAACATTGCTTTCTTTCTCTTGTGTTCTGTCTCTCTCTTTCGCGATCTTTCACTCGGGACCCAGGATGTCGGCGCGCGGGATTTGCCACTCCTCCTCACCCACCTTTACCCCCCCTGCCGGTGCCCTGGAAGGCCTGGAAAACGCCGCTGCCCCCCCCCCCCCCCCCCCCCCCCCCCCCCCCATTCGCTCTACCCTCGCCCAAATTTGAAACTTCGTAACGGCGGGTCTGCGGTGTCTCAAGCTGTGGTCCTGTGGTCTCAAGCTCGCTGTGATTGTTGAGGTGGCATCATAGAGTAATATAGTAAACGTAAAGAGAGGACACAGGAGCCGATTCGCGGCCCAGATAGTGCGTTTAATACCCTCCGCTACGTGGCGCTTTTCTGCAATTTGGTTAAAATTAATTAAAACTCTTTCTGTGAAAAGTATTTATTTTTTAAATGGCAATGCTTTAAAATTATTTAAAGTATTTAAAACGACTAAATAGTTTAAATCAAATACGTCACAAAAACCACGTAATGAATGGTGCCTGCCATGGCCTGCCTCTGCCTGCACGCTGTCGCCTCTGCATCATTCTGCATGGCCTCTGCTCGTCCCTGCGTCGTTCGTCTGTGCCGTGCGTGCCGTCCATCTGTGCTTTCTGCTGCATCATGTTCGGTCGACTTTGCATCAATCAAGGTGACGCATGACCGCCCGCGTGCTCGCATGCTCGGCGTGAATTCGTGGAGCCTATCGGTTCGAGCTTCTCGCGCTGTTGTTTCTGCCGGGCTGTCTGGCTGCACTTGAACGTGTGTGCACGTTGATTTTCGATGAGATTGTTTAAAAAAAGAGAATAATTTAACTAACGACCCTGCACACGGCATTGTCCATGGGTTTACAGATGACGGTGTTGAACGAACCTCTAACATTGCAGATAGAGCCGTGGTTGTTATGCTGTCTGAAAGTTCCAGGAGGTGCGTTTAGCCCCTTGCATACACTGTTGTGCACACTCCAACATCGTCTTCTGTTTAACGCAGTCTCCTCATTTCTCTCATTCGGGAGCTTAAGACTGTTTGCTTCACAGTAAAGGCTGTGGTCTGTGGTTAGGGGGCTTCAAACGTAAGCTTGGTGTGTGTGTTGATAAGCCATTTTTTGAAGTTGACAACGAACACGTTTACTTTGTCTTTGATGTTCCGCACCTTCCCTAAAAAAGCAAGAGAAATCTCCAAGCCCACAAACTTTGCATTGGAAATGAGGTCCTTGAGTGGTTTTCAATTGTTGAACTTTATTGTTCTATTCATGAGATGAGCTTGCAATTGGCTCCGAAACTTACTGAGAGACACATTGTTTCAAGAACCTTTCTGTAACATGGTAGAAAATTGTGCCCCACAGGTACTGAGTGCCTCACTCTTTCTTGCAATCATATCCCTTGTTTATGCCAAGGAACTTCCTGAGGCAGCCATGGCTACGGCTTATTTCTGTGATAGGATATGCATACTTTTTGATTGTCTAAATAGCTAATAAATTCAAGAAGACAGGGCAGAAGTTGCGTCATGCCATTCTGAAGGGAGAATCTGAAATACTTGATTTTCTCCACCAGTAACTCGGATGGATTTCAGCATGGCAGTTCCAAAGTAGGAGGCAGCCATAAGCCATCATTGGGTGGCAAGTTACTATAAAAAGTGTCCTCATGCTCTGGGATGAGCTTTCAAGCAGCCATGACGTACACTACTGATTTCAAGCAGCCATGACTTACTTACTGACGCCTGCAGCAAGACACACTTGAGAACGTTTTTAGAGCTATATACGACAAATGCTGGGCTGCAACGCAAACCCAAATGTGCATCAGTTCACCTCAGGACTAAAACACCTCTCGATAAAGAAACTGTACAAACTGTCGGACAATGAAAACGTAGATGATGACAAGGCTGACCTTCTAAAGGAGTTGCAAATATCTTCGCACCATGAAAGTTTAATTTCAGACATTGTGGAATGTCTTCCAATTGATAACTTCCCGCCACTAGAGGATATTTCTGAGCTGGCATCAGACATCAGGTCTAACATAATTGATGACTCGTCCACTTTTTTATTACGTTTGGGGCTATTTGATGAAGCTTTTGCTTGAACCGACAACTTACAGCTATGGCTGTTCTCAGCTGCTATCGGATGAGTCTAACAACTTGACCAAGCCTCACCAATACTGTCTTGTTCCTAAAGCATACCACGTGCCTGGAAAATTCTTCGGAGACTTAGTAGTACCATCACAGGCTGCCTTTCATTTCATTCAGCAACTAGAAAGTCACTTTCTTCCCATAATAGAGAGTGTGACACATGTTCGAGGAGTGTGTGCCACCTTGTATAGCACACTTTGAGGTCTGGGTGGTTTTATCCTTTGCCCAGAGGAGTACCACAAAAGGTTTTTAAGATTGTTTCGCAGATTACGCTTGTGTTGACATGTTTGATTTCTTAACCGGAATTTGGACAAAGTTCGGTTGCACTCTTCGGTGGCTAGTAAGCAACGAGACAGGTTTAACTGTTAATAGTGTATTAACAGAGGCGGTTGCCAAACCAAAAACAAAAAGTGCTTATCAAGTGGGCGCTGCAGCTTGCTCTCCAAACATTTGTTTCCCCTTTTTCCAGCGAATGTGTATCACGGCTCCCTAACAAAAATATTTGTCCACTTTCTACAAAATTTCGACTGAAAATTGTGTATAGAGGCTAAAAATATTTGAAAGAAAATGTATCCACTTCCATAGTTTTTTAGCCGCTTTTTTCTGAACAATTTCGGGGGATGTTTAGGGACGTTGAATCTTGTCAGATTTCGAATAGAGTTCTCATTGTTTGGTAATGGCTCGCCCGCAGTGAGTTTGAGGCTAGGCGAATTGGTGTTTTTTTATATTTGCCGGAAATCGGGAATTTGTACTATCCGGCGTGTGCTTCGCACTGTTATTATACTTTTATGACTGGTAATGATAGCGATGTCTTATTTATTTTTGCACTTACTTCCCGTACCCGAGTCGGCGTGAAAGTGAATGTATCATACAGCATGTTCTCCGTGGAAAGGTTTTGTTAACTTGGTTCCGCTAAGAATCTATTACGAAGTGTACGATATGCTGAAGTCCTTCATAATCATTTATTTTTGTGAGTATCGATCTCTTTCGTATAAAACATACAGAGCTCCTGAAGTAGATCTTGTATACATGGATGTGGTCCAATAAAATGTGTTCGAACCACTTATTGTTGGTGACCCCAAAATGCTCCACCAGTCAGGAGTCAATGCGGCGATTGTGTAACTTCAATGCTTTACAATAAAAAAAGAACAAGAAATATATATACTTCTGCTTTGTGAAGTAAGTTGAAATATTGTTTGACACATTTTGCACGGACTCTATCGTAAAAAATAAAGCAAAAGTGCGTCAGTATTAAAAAAAAAAAAAAAAAAGCAGCGGCTTCGGGAGTCCCGAGAGCCGAGCGAGGCGGGGAGGAAAGAGAGAGGAGTACCGGAGAACCGGAGCAGAAATTAACGCCCGAACCGAAACCGAAACTAACTTGACCAGAAACGGAATGAGATTATGCTTAATACCGCCCGTAGGAGCGCTACCTGTCACAGGTCTATCTGGGCCGCTGGGACCTATGGCAGTGTCCGCTCTTTACCTTGTGTATATTACTCTATGGTGGCATCGCGAACGCGCTCGCGATACCACCTAGCTGACCTAGCGACCTAAATATTCTAAGCTTAAATGGTAAAACAAAATGGCTAGGTGGCATAAGCTACCGCCCGATCCAAAGGGCTCAGCCGCATTCATCCATCCATCGATCCATCCGCCATGCGTTGGCCGTAGCGCCATATCGAAACTAGGGGTGTCGCGAACTTTTGTCGAACCAGATTTTTAGGTCGAACTTTCGGGGTTCGAGAACCTTCGAACTTTTCACCAGAATCGACCGGTTCGACTTTGTGGACAGTGTGGCCAGACCTTGATACAAGCATGTCTAGGTTTGGAGAACTCTTTTTTAAGAAAAGGGTTATTTTATTGTATAAACAGTTGCTATTAAAAGAAACTAATTTTAATCATTGTAGAAGTTAATAACTTATTTTTTGTGTACTGTATTGAGTGAAATAACCGATCAGCGCTGCCCTTAATTTATCCCTTAGCCATCAGCATCCAATCCGAAGCCAACTAGCCAGCCTGTCGCGCATGTGCACACGAGTCGAACCTCAATACAAGGTTCGTCGAATTTTCCGAAGATTCGATTTATTGTCGCATTTTAGTGTTGCACACCTGCACCTAACTTGTCCGCGCTCGAGTTAAGACCAACATGAAACTTTCTCCCGGTGAGCTTTTGTCCGTGTCTGTGAAAAAATGGGTGAGCTCCTATCCGGGATTCGTTATCAGCGACGTAGGTAAGTCTTAACTCAGACTGTGTTTGCAAATAAATCTTGCTTTGTGTTGAACCTGTTCTTTTTTTTTTTTAAGGTAAGTTTTCCATTCGTAGTTCTTAAACCTTGTAGGTAGCTGCCGGCGCAAAAACCCCAATTTGCAGCCGCTTTTTTTCTTTCTTCTTTTTTTAGAGTTCTTCGTTTCGCAGAAAATTTTTCCCGCATATTTCTCGCACCCCCCAACTTTCCATCAATTTTGCGCAAAAAAAAGTGCGAGGATTATGCGAGTAAATACGGTAGTTTTTTTACACGGGCCAAACCACATGGTTCTCTTTTCTCATAAGTACCCGATATTTCTGTGGTGCTGCGGCTCTCCCGAGCCAAAAAGAGGCAATCACAAGTACAATTTCAGCTTCTCATGGCAGAATGGACATAACAGACAGAGAAACTACACAAGGATCACTGAAAGCTAGAACCCCTTTTTATTTCAGAAACAAGACCACGGCGCGTGGCGCTTGATCGGCTTTCAGGGCAAACTGACTCGAAACGACACAAATGAATTGCAAAAAATGACGAGAGCATTTCGAAATACCAGGTGTAAGTAAGGCATAGAAAAATCAGTGTTGCAACAAGTCGTCACACTTTCAAGTGTGTCACAGACTACATAGGGTCGTCAAACCTAAGAAACACTCTTGTATCTGTACAGAAGTTGTCGGTTCGTGGAACCTTTGGATGCTCTAAATGCCGTCCAGAGCTGAAAAAGACAAAAATATTTTTGTTTTTTTAAAGATTTGGCACACGAGGATCTTCTCGTACACACAGCAGACAACTGTATGAAAAAAGAAATTTAATTTACTTCGGAGCATCTTGGCTGGCGAGACCCTTTTTGTTTGGTTAATCTGAAAATAACGATTCAACTATACAGCGTTTCACCCAAAGTTATTTACAGTGCAGTCAAAGGCCAGAAGACACACCCGCACAAACTAAGAACGCAAAGTCGCGGCACTGTCTCTGTGCTCGATTGGTTAAAGGGATACTACAACGAAATTTCGGCGCTCATTTTTTGGTCTATATGTGTTCAAAAGAGCAGTATCACATGGAACATACCAATATCTTGTTAAAAAAGTCTCGAAAAGGAATTTTAAAACGAATTAAACGATTAGCAAGGAGCACCTGGTGGATGTCGCTAACGCCTCGTTTGTAATGCTCGTCTAGGAACCTTGACAGCTAGTAACAGAGGTTGTCTCTTCTCCGGCCACGACGAGAGAAGGGGGGAAGGTGGAACTCCCCTCTTCCCGTGAATCCCTTTTGTGTGTCGCAGAAGTCGCTATTGTCCCCCTAGAAGATTATAGAAGATTAACCCGTCACTCAAAATTCGTACAAAAGGAGCCGCTTCGGTGGCTGGAGCGACTAGGCCATCCTCTCGATGTCAGCCTCGCCGTAGCTTTGCTCGTCTTGAGACGACCTACGTCACGATTGCGTTGGATGTCACGTGCTCTAAGCTGGGCCTTCTCCAAGCGCTTGCCAGAGTGGGCCGTTTATAACGAAAAATACAGCCACCAGGATCAAAATACAAACGTGCGATTGTCATTTACGGATATTGTGGACAATATTCAACCCATTTTTGAACACGACGGAAATATTTCAAATTTCGTTGAAGTATCCCTTTAAGACGGCGAGAGGAAACGCACAAGACAGAAAGTGCCGTGCTGTTGTGCTTTTAGCGCTGCTTCATTGACCTTGTCTGCTCGTAATGTTGGCTACGCTTTAAATTAAAGAGAGACCGACCCCCCAAAACTTTGTTTTTTCACTTGCCAAGTTAGAACACAAATGCCATAAAATACTAGATACCCCTTCTCCCCACCCTCTGGCAAGCAGTGTTGCCTCTTCGTCCGCCTGGTGGCACAATATTTGGCACCTAGTATTTCGTGCAATGCTGTCCATGCTAGCCTAGCTTCTGCGGTGCTCCAAAGCTGTCACAACTAGTTGTGCGAGCAGGCAGAAACGCAAAAGGAAGTTACATGCATGTGCTCTCGCAGATGTGTTGGCCTGCAGCACTGTGCAAGCTACATGGCACGAAACAGTTGCTGGCCTTGCATTGTTATATTAGGTATTATGCTATAGTTATATAATATTATACATTATCTTATGTGATAGTTATACCGTAGCTATACCATTCTAGGCCCATGGCTGTTGGTAGGCACGATAAAAAATAAATACATAAATAAGACCAGCTATGCTAGCCTTATTTGAGCCCATGCGCACCTTCGACCATTCTGTGGTATGCAAAGTGGAAGTATAGCAACGCCAGCAGGTGAAGCAAGGCAGCCGTGGACGCTGCGACAGCCTTGTGGGAGACGCTGGCTGTCTTGGCTGCAAACACGGCCACCTCTGGGAGCGCAGGGAAACGTCGGGGATGTGGGCACCTGACGTATAGAGCCGCTTCACTAGCGAGAACGCTGTAGGAATGCGCGAATATTCGAATTTTCAAATACTAGTTTCGAATAATACATTATTCAATATTTGCTTCGAGATGAACCGCGATATTCATATTTTTCGAAGTGACGATGGCAGCGGGTCAGCTACGTCGAGTGCACTTCTTAACGAGCACCAGTGCGCTGCGTAGAAGCAACGCCCACAGAAGCGAACTCTGCAGGTATTGTTTCTCTGCAGTGCACTAGTGCTCGGTAAGAAATGCACTCAATAAGGCTAACCTGCCGCCATCGACAGTTTGTAAAATACAAATATTATCGCAGTTTGTCTCACAGCGAATATCAAATACAGCATGTTAATCGAAACTAGGTACAGTACTACTCGAAAATTCAAATATTCACAGAATCCAAAATGTTTTAACCGGGCAATAAGTTGGGCGAGTTGGTTGATCATCTTCAAAAGTGGAAACGCAAAAAAATTGACAAAGGACGAGTAGAAGAAGTGCACGGACACAGCGCTGACTATCAACTGAAAGTTTGCTTTTCAAGCGAACCAGAAAATAAACACTGGAAGCAGAGAGGAAAGAACCAATCAAGACACAAAAATACAACCCGATAAACAAGACTTGTTTTACGTCATATCTCTTCCACACATGCTAGCCACTGTTCTTGATAAAAAGGACTTCGTCAACCCCAAGTGCACCGACAAGTGCGCTAACACATTCCCCTTCCCCCTTTGATAAAATAAAAAAGGCCTCTTCAATCTCTCTGGCGGTCTTATTTTTGTTACGCGCCAGGATCGTCAGGTTATTGAACAAAGGCATGCAGCTGCACCATTCTGCAATGTACCGCTAAGTGGCTAGCGGGGTCGACCTACAACTGCTACACCCACAATTCAATGACGTTGATTGTGGGTGTAGCCGAGTCCCTGATAAAGGAGTTTAGGGGTCGACCCAGTCCCAAGGTTAGACAAAAGCCGACAACAAGGCCAGTGGTGGTGCCTTACGTCCACGCCCTCTCCCTTGAGGTTAAGCGAGTGGCTTACAAGTATAACCTGCCAGTGGTCTTTTCAGCACCCCAGAACTTGTCACGACTGTGCTCTGCTCTTAAACAAGGGAGTACCAGTGATTTCCATTGTGATGTTAACTCCCGCACTCCTTTTTCTCATGCGCACTAGGGGTTGTGTACCAGATCCCCTTCACATCTGGTTAGGTATGCATTGGACAAACAACTCAAATTTGGAGGTTTTGCGTGCTAAAGCAACGACGGGCATCTAGCACACCCCAGCGGAGGACTGAGGATGCATTTGGAGCTGGGAGCTCGGGGTCGATGTCGAGCGGCGGCGGTGCCGTGCTCTTCTGCTGTGGCGACAAGGTTTCCTCGGAGATTGCGGCGACCACGGCTGGTGCCTGAAGCTCCTCGACGTGGCCCACGGTGGTACCCTTCGTTAGGTGCTGCGGCTCCTCTCGAAAGTTGGTCACAAGAACAGTTGTACGTCCTTCTTGGATATCCGTTATGCCTTGTGCGACACCAATTCCTTTCTCGAGGAGCAGTTGGACGCTGCCTTCCAGAAGAGCTTCACTGTGCATGGCTGCGTCGGTAATTATGACGGTGACGAAAACACTCGACCGCGGCGGTAGGTTCCCATGGTCGGCGATAACTCGGATAGCGGTTGACGTCGTGTTGGTCTCCGCCGGCGGCTGGACAGGCTTTCGCAGCGTCAACTGATTTTCTGCGAGGTCTATGACGGCGCCATACTCGCAGAGAAAGTCCATTCCGAGGATAACGTCCCTCGACGAACTTCACAGGGCACGTCTCACCGTGGATCTCGACGCGAGCAGTGCATCTCCCGACTGGTGTGATTAGGTGCCTTCCGGCGGTTTGTATTTGAGGTCCATCCCACGGCGTCGTGACTTTTCGAAGGCGGCGGGAGAGCCTCCCACTCAAGACTGAGTAGTCTGCTCCGGTGTCTACGACTGCTGATGCGTCGTGGCCGTCGATGACGACGTTTAGTTTGTTGGACACCGTTTGCAGGAGCGTCGTTTCGGTCTCTGGTAGCGTTCGAGTGGGGGCCCTCCGACGTTCGTGGAGAATCTTGGTTTCGGTCGTCTTCGGCAACTCCACCTCCGGGGTTGCCGCGTTTCCCCGGCGCGGAGCGAGTGGCGACAGGCTTTCACGTCGGGGTCGGTGCATCGGCGAAGCTGGACGTCGTGGCGAAGGCGACCGGAACTCTCGGTGGGACGCAGGCTGAGGGGACTGAGGTCGTCGCAGTTAATCGTCGATCTCCCGAGGGCGTTCACCATACAGACCATACCGGGGGCGCGGGTCGTTTGGGTGGAATCCGCGCAGCCGTCAGTATGGGCCTCGGCGGTACACATGGTCAGCTTCCCCGCAGTGGCAACAGAGCGGGCGTCGGTCGGCCGTCCTCCAGACGTCTGTCTTCCTCGACACAGGTCGGTCTGGGTGAACGTGCGCCCGATCTTTCTGTCGTCGGGGGTACTGCGGCGTTGGGGCGTCTCTTCGGGGTGGCGCCGTGGCTTGGCGGGGAGCTTGCGGCGGTCGTCGGGCCATGACAGCGTAGCTCAACATCGGTTCCTCCGGTGCCACCGTGGTGACAGGAACCTCTGGTTCGAGCGCCCGATGCACTTCTTTTCGGACAGCCTCGACGATGAAAATGGATGGCGGACGGCTGGTGGTTGGCAGCAACCTTCGCAGTTCCTCCCGGACGACCTCCCGGATAATTTCGCGGACGTCCGTACCAGGAGCGCTTTCGCCGCTAAGCAGCGCGGTTGCAGTGACGCTTGGATGCCGCTGGTAGTGGGAAGCGCGGGCTTGAAGGGCGCGCTCGATGTTTGTCGCCTCGGTGACGAAGGCGTCGGAGGTTTCCGGCGGGTAACGGACGAGGCCTCCGAAGATGTCGTCTCGCCCCGCGCATGAGGATTCGTAGCTTCTTCTCTTCTGTAGCCCGGGTGTCGGCGCGGGCGCTGAGGCGCAGAACATCCTCTACGAAGCCGCTGACGCTCTCGTGGGGGCCCTGGGTCCTGGTTCGCGGTAGGTCCTCGGCTCTCTCTCGGCGGTGGTGGTTGACAAATGTAGCCTTCAGATCGGTCTTGAAAATTTCCCACGATGTCAAAGAGGACTCATGGTTCTCGTACCAGTGCTTGGCGGTCCCATCAAGGGAAAAATAGACGTTGTGCAGGCACGGCTCGTTGGTCCAGCCATTGTGGCGGGCAACGCGTTCATACTGGTCAATCCAGTCTTCGACGTATTCGTAGAGTTCACCGTAGAAGGGGGCAGCCATGCGCGGTGTGACGGGCATGTAGATGACGGGAGGAGCGGCGGGGGCTTGCGACTGGTTGGCCATCGTCGTCTTCTTCGGTTTGGATTTGTCCGGCAGCAGACCCAATTCACGGGACTGACCTCTGGTACGGCGGCTTCTTCGGACTCCGGCGTCTTCGGCGAAGGGTAGCCTTCCGGGGCTGAGCACGTCGCATGGCCAGGATGTAATTGGAGGGGTACGCTCAACGGGCATAGAATGGAGTACCCAGAACCTCCCCCAAAATGTCATGGGTGGTGACCAAAAGAACAATAAATAAACAGGAAGAAATAAACGTTTAATGTGGCGAACTTGTGCCAAAAATGCAAGGGTACAAAATATAATAACATCGCCGCGGGCGTCGAAGTTGGCGTAACAGCAGAGTCGAACGCTGGGACGAGACTGACTCCGGTTCGCCACGCGGAGCCACTTATGTACATGCGTAAGCTTCTGGAATAATCAGCGTAGAATGTTCGACGTGTAGAACATTCGGACCTCAAACACGCCCAACAGGGTTCTCGAATTTACCAGAAAACTAGATTGCAGGAATAGCAAAAGATGCGTCGCCTTCATGGATTGAACCCTGGATTTTCGCGTGGGAGGCAGGCACGATAACCGTTAAGCTACGCGCGCGCTGCCTCCTTGGCCAGCTGCGCGCGCGGCAGTTCAGGCACAGAGTCCGAGGAATCTTCTGACGGCGTTCTTGTCAGACGGCGGCGTAAATAAAGCTACAATGAGGGTCTTCTCGGGGTCAGGGAGAACAACTTTGGTGTTCACGACGTGGCCAAGAAACTTTAGTTCACCATAGGCGAACCGACACTTCTTGGGCTTGAGTGACAGGCTGGATGTCTTGATGGATTGAAGCACGGCTCGAAGTCGCTAGAGGTGTTTGTCTCGGTTTCGTGACAATACCATGACATCGTAGAGGTAGACGAGGCAGCTCTGCTCTTTCAGACCTGCCAGCGTGGTGTCCATGACGAGCTGGAAGGTGGCTGGTGCTGCACAAAGCCTGAACGGCGTCACTTTGAGCTCGTAGAGTCCGTCAGGAGTGACGAAGGCAGTTTTCTCTCGATTTCGTTCGTCGACTTCAATCTCCCAGTAGCCACTCTTCAGGTCCATCGACGAAAAGTATCGGTAGTGTCGCAGTCGGTCTAACTTATCGTTGATGGGGGAGCGGATAGAGGTCCTTTTTAGTCACAGCGTTCGGTCGACGATACTCTCCGCAGAATGTCAAGGTTGCGTGCCTCTTTACAAGAACGACTGGTGACGCCTACTGACTTCTCGAGGGTTGAATGATGTTGTCGTCGTGCATTTCCTGTAATTGATCTTGAATCACCTTCCTTTTTCTAAGGAGACTCGATACGGCGACTGGTGGACCAAGAGCGCTTTATCGCCAGTAATGATGTGGTGACTCGCTACCATTGTCGCACCCTTGATGTTGTGGCGAAACATTCGCCAAATTTGTTCAGAAGGTGAAACAGCCGTCCTCGTTCAGTAGCTGGAAGCTTCGGACCGATGTCAAGTTCCAAGGCCGGCATTCTGTCGTGCTGAGATTAAGTCGACTCTTCTGAAAATGCAGCGATCGGGGCTGAGTTGTGGAGTTCGTCAATGTGAGCCACGGGGACACCTTTCGTAAGGTGCTGCGGCTCTCCTCAGAAATTGGCAGCCAGGACAATGGCGCGCTCGTCTCTAAGTTGTGTTAATCCTTGTGCGATAAATATTCCTCTTTCTACAAGCAACTGGAGGCTTCCAGTGCCAGGGCAAGACGCGAACAAAACGCGTAGCCCTACGACTGAATACTCTCAGCGATTGAGTTTTAAAGCTTTTCTTTTAGTATCTTCCAAACGTTGTTAGACACAACTGTGAAATAGACTTTTAAAATGATTATAATGCAATTAAATGCAAATGTGCAAGCGAGCTGGACAAGAATGATAAATATAATCTCTGGAGAAGGGGAATAAGAGGCTTGCGCCTTTTGCATTAATTGCATCAGAATTATAACCATAAATTGCAAGCTTCATCCCTGTTCGTGTTAAACTGGTGACAGCTGATAAAACCCGTTTGCTCTACTGACGTCTAACCAAAGGAAGAAGAAGAAGCCGTAGCATCCGAACGTTTGTTTCCACCGCTCTGTATATATTATCATGAATAGCAATCCTGATGACTCAGAAGCGACTTGCCAACTACAGATTTGCGCCACGGACTCGACTACCGCTATAATCATCCGGCGACCTCCAACCTGGTGACGGACTTCTACCTTTCTAAGGGACGACATTCGTTCTCGATTTGCTAGGAACGACCCAGGTATCGCATCACTGAAGCTGACTCGTCTGTTACCTGCGCCTTCAAGGACCTGCGTGGATCTCACCGGCAACAGTCATCACAAGCGTAGACGTCTGCCTCACCCAACTGCAGCAAGTATACTTGATAGATGTTTGTAGAATGAAGCGATACTACCGCCGATCGTGCTGATAAACCTGGAGCTCTTCCAAAGCCTTCCATACTCTCGATCTCCTCTCCTGTGTAGTACTGGCAAGGCGAGACTGCCAGGACATCCAATGCCAACTCGACGAATTCACGGCCGCAGGTTGGAGGGCACCGAGACGCTGATCGTGCCCCGGCTGGAGTACCAGAGCCTGCGGCTGGTCAGTGGGGAGCTGGCCGCTCCCTGCAGCCCCCAGGGGGCGCTGTCTGTGGCCACCCAGCGCTACCTGCACCAGTACGGCCTGCTGGACCCCGAGAGCGCCCTGGACGAGGGACCCATCCTGGACATCATTGCCCTCAAAAAGCTGCCCAAGCTGCTCCGAGCGTGTGGGGGCACGCCCTGTCCAAGGCGAGTGTGCAGTCTGACCACTGCGCCCTGTGCATCCAGTCGAATTAGTGCATCTGCACCAGCGCGTCCACAGTTGCACCTGTGTGTTCTGGTCGTACCGGTGCATTTGCCCCAGTGTGTCTGCGGTCGCAACAGTGCATCTGCAATGCATCCACAGTTGCTCCAGTGCATATACAGTCACACCAGTGCATCCAGTCGCACCAGTGCATCTGCATTAGTGTGTTCAAACTAACTCGCAACAGTGCATCAGCATAGCAGAAACAGTTGCTCCAGTGCATCCAGAGTCACACCAATGCATCCACAGCTGCACCAGTGCATCTGCCCGTTCAAACTCACAACAGTGCATCTACGGAGCATCCACAATTGCTCCAGTGCATCCATAGTCACACCAGTGAATCAAAAGCTGTACCTCTGCAGTGCATCCATGGTTGCACTAGTACATCTGCACCAGTGCGTCGACGGTCGCACAAGTCACCTGCAGCCATGTGGTCGCACCAGCTTTGCGACTGGGAGTGCCAGTAGCCTCAAGAAACGTGGGGATTGTCCTAGAGCTCAGCAGAGAGCATGCATGGGCCATTCTTTGGGTCTAACAGAGGTGGTGGCAGTTGCTGCGTTCTATTTACCTATGCCAGAGGCACTTGGTGTGCACACTGCCGTATTTGATTTACCTATGTCAAAACTGAACTGGAAGTACATTTCCCTGTACTTTTCTGCACCAATGCAGGCTGGCACAGGTACGTCGAACGAGCCTTCGTTTTAGCTGAAGTCCAGACGCAGCCGATGCTGCAAGCGCGAGGTTTTCAGCGTTCCTCCTGCCAAGCACGCGCACTTGTAGCATCGGCTGCATCTGAGCTTAAGCTGAAACGAAGCTGTGCGATTGTGTGGCAGCATTGTTGGAGACAATATTTTAACAATTTTACAATATATACTTTAAAAAATTTGCAGGCTTTAATTTTTACATTGTTTATTTTGCCAAAATAGAAAACGCCATACTTTTGAAATATCAAGAACAGAACTATTTTGCGATTTGCATTAGCAAGAAGAAAAAAAAAGTGTTGTTTAGTCAATTAATCATGTTGTTCAATAAATAAAAAAAAAATTTTGGTCACCACACCGTTGTCTAATTTAAATGGAAACTTGTAATCTGTTGAATTCTGATTTTCTCTTGCATGTATGGATAGTGTAAATTTTTTTATTGTACAAGTTCCTTTATCGTGCACTACCGTGAAATTCCGAGCAAGGGCCCACTCAAAATTAAGAAATAATAATGTAAAACTGGGGGATGGGCGCTTCTTAGGTCAACAATATGTGAAGATATGTCTTGTGTATATATCCTAATACAAAATTGAGGGGTGGGCGCTTCTTAGGTCAACAATATGTGAAGATATGTCTTGTGTATATATCCTAATACAAAATTGAGGGGTGGGCGCTTCTTAGGTCAACAATATGTGAAGATATGTCTTGTGTATATATCCTAATACAAAATTGAGGGGTGGGCGCTTCTTAGGTCAACAATATGTGAAGATATGTCTTGTGTATTTATCCTAATACAAAATTGAGGGGTGGGCGCTTCTTAGGTCAACAATATGTGAAGATATGTCTTGTGTATATATCCTAATACAAAATTGAGGGGTGGGCGCTTCTTAGGTCAACAATATGTGAAGATATGTCTTGTGTATATATCCTAATACAAAATTGGGGGGTGGGTGCTTCTTAGGTCAACAATATGTAAAGATATTTCTTGTGTATATATCCTAATACAAAATTGAGGGGTGGGCGCTTCTTAGGTCAACAATATGTGAAGATATGTCTTGTGTATATATCCTAATACAAAATTGAGGGGTGGGCGCTTCTTAGGTCAACAATATGTAAAGATATGTCTTGTGTATATATCCTAATACAAAATTGAGGGGTGGGCGCTTCTTAGGTCAACAATATGTGAAGATATGTCTTGTGTATATATCCTAATACAAAATTGAGGGGTGGGCGCTTCTTAGGTCAACAATATGTGAAGATATGTCTTGTGTATATATCCTAATACAAAATTGAGGGGTGGGCGCTTCTTAGGTCAACAATTTGTGAAGATGTGTCTTGTGTATAGGTATATCCTAATACAAAATTGAGGGGTGGGCGCTTCTTAGGTCAACAATATGTGAAGATATGTCTTGTGTATATATCCTAATACAAAATTGAGGGGTGGGTGCTTCTTAGGTCAACAATATGTAAAGATATGTCTTGTGTATATATCCTAATACAAAATTGAGGGGTGGGCGCTTCTTAGGTCAACAATATGTAAAGATATGTCTTGTGTATATATCCTAATACAAAATTGAGGGGTGGGCGCTTGTGGAATGGGCGGGCGCTCTGTATTTTACGGTAAGTGTTTCCTGGCTTTTCATTCTTTGCGTGGATTTTGTTTAAAGCATGTAGACATGTTTTCAATGCTAGGACAAAACTATTTTTGCACGAGCAGAGAGAATAAAACATCTTATTTATTGCAATGCACACTAATTGGCTTTCACTTGGTTATGTACTTGCACAGGTAGGTGGTGGTCCGGTGTTATGGTGTCGTCCTTGCAGTGTCTCTTGATCTCGCACGTCTGTCTCCTTGGCCACTGCTGTAAATTTTACTATTTTTGCTATTGAAGCTGTTTTAGCCCCATGTTTACTTCTACAGAGGTGAAAAAAACCACTGTAACTGACCAATATATTTGTCTACAAGATTGGGAAACATTCAAAGCTAGACGCTGGAGTTATTCGTAATATTTGCTTATAATCGAGTACACGGAGAAAATGCATCCACGTTTTTCGAAATTCATTACCGGATGTCAATTTTAGACTGGATGCTGTCTGCTTCAATTATCATCAGCCCACAAGTGCTGGCCGGGCCCCTAGCAGACATTACAATTACGCCATGGTTCTCAGAATGGAGCTAGCTCTCATTAAAAACATCCAACAGTTTGGTGGTGGGTGAGTGGAAAAAGTGCACCGTACCCAGTGCTAAATCAGTGCTTGACACATCTGAGAACCGGGCCTCACCAGGAATGCTAGCTGGCGGAAAAGTGTGGTTCCTTACAAGTGTTTTTGAAAGGCAAAAAGTAAGTGGTTTTTTGTTGGTACAGTCTCATTAATTCAAATTCGAAGGGGACTGAAAATTTGTTTGAATAAAGGAAAGTTCGAATCACCGGGAGTTTCCTCTCATAGGCACGCATAGGATGGGACCTGCATATTAATTTGAATTATCCACAAGTTTGAATTATTGCAATTCAACCTTTTTTTTTTCCACTTTGGCACAGTAGCATCTGGTAATCACTGCTGCTTGACATGTGCATTTTTCTACAACATGGAAGACATATTGCCAAGGCTCTTTTTGCGGTGCTGCTATGAGGCACTTCAGTTTTAGCAAGTGTAGGACAAATATTTACTTCCTCACCCCAAACAATACGGGCCTTACCAAGGCAAATCCTGCACAGCCACCCGAAACTGCCACGTCGACAGGGTCTTTCATATTGTAGGGGAACGTACCTTGCGCTAGCAACCGCTGCACCAATTAAGTTGGCCCTCTACAGTGGAGGAACAAGTCTGGTGCCCAGTTGCAAGTGCGCAATATACTAATGAACACTGGACATGGAAGAGACAGAAAGAGGCATGGTGCACAACACTTAGTGCAAATAAGCTATGTTTTTGTTTTTTGAAACGCATAATGTGTTATTTGGCTGGCACTGAACTGTTTCCTGTTTTAGGGACGAAGCTCCTTAGGGTCTAGCCTTGTCCGGCGTCCGTGCTCACATCGATTGCCATCCCATCTGTCTTAGGAAAAGAAAAAAAATGTTGGCGCAGTCGACAGGATTCGAACCTGTGCGGGGAGATCCCAATGGGTTTCTAGTCCATCGCCTTAACCACTCGGCCACGACTGCGGTACGAGTAGGGGGCTCTGAGATGTGGTAGTAACTCAAGAGCTGGGGATGTCATGGATGAAACGTTTCATGTAGCTGCTCAACTTCTATACAGGAGAGGGTGCTGCGGTCAAATGCGTATATAATCGCGTTAAACTTTGCATGCATTGGCTCAACGTTTATAGACGAGAGGGCGCTGCGGTGAAATGCGTATATAACCACGTTCCATACCACACATTCTCTTTCTGACATGGGCCGTTGACTTAAGCGGTAGAGATGCATTCCCACGGCTTCTAGCGGATCCATGCTGATCCGCTAGTAGAACCACTGGCTCTGCATTTCACCGACCATAAACCAGTAATAATGAAGTTGAAACGCAACAAGGAACTCAGCACTACCTATGAGCAATAAAAAAAATATCGGCACCATCAGCACTGCATATGAACAAAATCAGTATCAGCACCACCAGAGATTAGCCCCAATCAACATCATTCGCCACGTGGAGATGCGGTAATTTTTTTACTCCAGTGACAAAACCAGACAATGCAAGTGCCAGCCACGCATCTTTTTTCAATAGATGCGAGCTTCTCCAGTGAGTTGCATCACGCAATCAAACGTATCGAGACGTTAGCAACAAGCTCTACTCCCAGCACGCCCTAAAGAAGCGAGCTCTCCAGGCCTTCGGCATCCTCACCAAACGTGCACTCTTTTTCTTTTTTTCGCTTTGGTGCTCTTTTTGGATAGGGCCATTCACGGGGAAATTGCAGCGCAGCGTGACAATCGTCTTCTCTGTTACGGTACGACACGAGCATTTTCTTACGTTGCGTTATAAGTCACTGGAACATCTGTGCCTGGAATGTTGCATGCTTAAGGCTACTCCTTGAACTGGCGGCCACAATTTATACAAAGCACAGATGTCCCAGTGACTCCGAACATAACTAGACATAAGCTCCCATCATGACGTAACCTAAGCAGACGGTGTTGTGTGACCCAACCTTTATATTGCCAGAATTGCCGCAATACCAGAAACAGCGGTGCTGCAATTGCATTGCGTGTTACCACTAACTTTCCCACGGCCTACTGTATAATGGCGACTATAATGCGGGAAAGGGGCGAAAAAAGTCAAATTTGGGGGTTTTACGTGCCAAACCTACGACGGGCATCTGGCACGCCCCAGCGGAGGACTGAGGATTAATTTCGACCACCTGGGGATCTTTTGACGTGCAACCGAAAGCTCGGTTACACGGCGCCTTCCCCACAATAAGCCTCCGTCATAATGCGGGCACCTTGGTCGGGATGCGAACCCGCCACCTGGGGATCCGTAGGCTGGCGCCCTCGCCTCGGGGCTGGGAAAGGGGCGAGGTTGTCATCAAGACTACTAGTCCCATAGAAAGTGCTCCTCTAGGGCACTGACTCAAGCTCTAAAGTTTGGAGCCTGCCAATAGCATTCCAAAGTAGAATGCAAGCAGGCACCAATATCATGTCAATATCAACAGCGTCGCACAGTGGACATGACTGTCTCCAGCATCGGAACAAAACAATGCTAAAAAAATTAATCCCAAACCATTTTTTTTTCTGTACAATCAATTTTGCACAGTAGGTTTAACCCGAGTCACTGCTTGGACCACTGCTGTCGAGCCACAATGAAACAATGCAAGTGGGCTTTTGAAGGAAGCCCACGTCTGCACTTGGTTCTTTCGTGATAACTTTGCTTAAAATTTAGTCGCTCCTACTAGTGGTGTGCAAACTCGCAAATAGTATACTATTTGATTTGATTTGCAGCATACGTTTATCATTCGAAGTATTGCGAGTTTTTCTAATATCCAAAAATTACGAAGGAATGTCTTCAGAATTCCTGTTTTTGATCTCAAGCTTCCCTGCTTCGTAGCGGTGTAAAGCAGTAAAGCTTTAGCACTTTGCATTGGTGCAGCAAGTCAAGCTTTACTGTTTTGCATCATGGTGCTAGGAGAAGCACCTGACGTGTTTGGGTCCAACAAAGGGCGTCCAGCACAACCAACAAAGGGCATCCCAGCTGTGGACCAAGGATTCAATTTGATTGCCTGGGGATCTTTTGATGTTTAAGCGAAATCTTGTCTACACAGCATCCAACGGATGTCAGGGGCTGTGTAATCGCGGTGGTCATGGAAAC